ATTCGTGTAGCTGTGTGGGAACCTTCAAACGGAACAATTCGCAAAACAGCTCTTTCTTGCTGAAAATCATCCTTCAACCAGTGGGCTGTTATACTTAAAAAAAGAAGGATTGTTTGTAGTTGCTGTCCAAATATCAGCGGTTAAAAAAATATCTTTTGTTTTTGTTACATACAAAAACACTTCAGCTATTTAAACAATGTTGAAGTTTTCATGTGTAAACAATTAAGTGTATGGCCAATTAATTACCGATTAATCGGTGATTTAAGAACTTTCTTGGATGAAAATTCTTTGACAATTTTCTTGAAATCTAAATTTGTGCCAAGCTCATGTTTTACGGGAATAGTTGGGAAATCACCAAGTCGATGTCTAAACAACGACTTGGTGATTTCCCAACTATTCCCATAAAACATGAGCTTGTTCAAACATCGACGATCAAGGATAATTGGGCTGCAATTTAAAACTTGTATAACTACGAGTTTTACTAACAATTTAAAACTCGTATAATTTCCCACTGTCGTCCGCCTGTCTGTCCTTCCTTAGTCTCGAAAACGGGGTTAAATAGATGAAACTCGTGACCAGACATGGAAATCTAAGGGGCAGGAGGAGGCCCCGATTAACTATATACGAACTTCCTATCTAAACCNATGTACATACTGTTGTTTGTTTACATTTCCTGTATTTTATTTCCTTGGTAGTGCTCATAGCAGAGCCAAGGTATGCATTTATGCCTCCGTAAATAAATTAAATTGAATTGGTACGACACCGTCCGAAACGAAAAGCCGAGCGTGGCGGTCCAACGAATGCGCGCGGCTCTCGGAGGGCCCTACGTCCATGCCCGTGCCAAATGACGCCGAGTAAGATTCTTCTGACGTAACCGATTAATTCGACATCTTTAAAGCTACTTTAATTTGGACTTTTTTTCGTCGACCGGCAAAGAACCGGTACGGTTGCATTTCCGAAATTTCATCACAAACAAGGATAAAATCAAAACTATATTATAATAAACTTCAAGCATTTTTATCATCTCTACACCAAGTGGAATTCTTAACACAATTGGACTATTTCCCAAACTCCAATAACACTTTCTCAGGGCAAAAAAAAGTGGTGGTACATCCTAATTGGGTTTTATAAAGTCTCGTTTACTTGACGATCGTAATTAATGGAATTTGTCGGAAGACAGATCGAGAAGTCACGAATTAACAGTCGAGTCCCTAACGCTTATTTTAAGTATTTAAAAATATTTTAAGTTTGTATCCAAGTGGCGTTTAATTATCTAATAAAGAATTTAAAGACGAGGACAAACGAAGAAAGAAAATGTGAGAAGGAGGAAGGCGAAACGAAGCGATCTTTCAAAATTCAAAGATGTGATCAATTAATTAATTGATACCGATCTGGCGTCGCTTCGATCATCACAGTGTCTATTGATCGAAATCGAAGTGGTTCTCCTCGCGCCGTATCCTAATAAATGATTAAATAGCATATAATTTCTACCCGGGTTTACCACGAAAACATTAAAGTCGACCGCGGGGACTCCATTTTTGAATTAATGTTTAGGAGAGGAAAAAAAAAAAAAACGGTTCGACAAACGAATTTTTCGACTTACTCTCGAAAGCCTGAAGGAATAATTCGTGGTCCGTCTGTAATGCGTCGCAGTAGTTCATCTTTTGATCGTCCGACGTCTTTTCTCTCTTTTTCGGTGGCATTTTTCCCAAACGGTAATGAAACGAAGCGACCATCGGATAAAAACCCCCGCTCAACCAACAACCATACAAAAGACCATGGACGACTCCCGCTACCAGAGGATCATGGGACCATCCGCCGTATACACAACACCGTTCACTCTACGGGGAAATTTCCCTAACTTACGCTCCGGGGAAGTTCCGTTTTCTGGAAAATTCTAACCAAAAACGGCTGATTTATTATCGTTAACGTCCATATATATTTATTTTATATTAATATTATTTAATTTACTTAAATTTTTTCGTAATTTTCTTAATTTTCCTCGAAACGAGGGTATTTATAAACGCGGTTTGGTCGACGCGGTTTTTTTGTTGTGTGTATATAAAACGACTGGCCGACATTTTGAGCGTAGAGTGATTATTTTTTCCGCATTAAATCGATTCCGGTACGATTATTTGGTGCGCTTATACGACGTGGATTTTTAGAAAGAGGGAAAGAAATCCAATAACTTTCACAGATATAAAAACATTCTGTCTTATCCATTTATAGAGCGATTAAATGTAAAAACGAAGTTAGCCGTTTTGAATATATTATGTACAGTACTTTCGTTTAACTATTGTTTAATTAAATATCGTTAATTCGAAACTTCGATTATTATCGCACGATTACGAATGAAGATGCTTCTCAGCAGATAAAGTCATTGAATTCAAATAGACGTTTCCTTTTCTTATTAAAAATGAATAAAAGTCAAATACTTTTGATATAAATTATGAACTGCTTTATTTATTTATTTGTGAAATACACTTTATAAGTTAACTTAGGAAACATCCCGATAATCTAGACCTTTATTCGTAAAAATCCACGCTAATTAGAGAAAGGTGTGTGTGTTTATTACATATATAGGCTACAGAGCTCCCGACCTGTGATTATGAAGAAGAAAAAAAAATTTGCTATAGTACCCAAAAAAGATGACAGCCAAAATTACTTTTTATTAAGCGGAGCATTAGCATCGATATATTCGAGAATCGATAAGCGATTCCATGTTTACTATTCTGGCGAAACAATAAAGCAATAAACTTATAAACTTTATTGTATTGAATAAAATAGAAACGCGGAATTGTCTACGAATAAAGGAATATATTGTAATACATTGGAATAAATTTGTAATAAAAACTTTAAAACCTTTTTTTTTTTTGTGGAACACTGGAGACAAATTTGAGGAACACCGGTTAACAACCACCCCTCTAGACAAGGCCGGCGCTACCGAATGGGCTAACTGGGCATTTGCCCAGGCGGCAAATTTCTATAAATTTATACAAAATTTTCAGGTATAATATTTTTTTCTATTTTTATTTATTTTACGCGGCACGAGTTGAATCTTTATCGATGGGGCAAGTTCCTCTAGTGAGCTCACAATCGCGCAGATTTACTTACTTTGCGCATTTTAGAACTTTTGCATGGCAGACAGACCAAACATTGATATACACATATATATATATATATATATATTTCAGTATATATTAATGTTTGATCTGCAAGAATAAGGTCTGCATCATTATTAGTAGAACTTACTCTGCGATTCCTTTTATAAGAAATATAACACCGGATAATCGAATATTTTTATCTAAAATTTCTATATAAAAAGTCGTACTAAAATTAATGATGAGAATCAAAAAATGGTTATAACAAATTAACCCAAAAAGTTTCGAGTATATAAACACAATACGTCTTATTAACTAAAAGAACTGATCTTTTATTAGTTAATTATGAAATATTGATTTAAATTTAATTATTTTCAAGAAAAAAAATTAAATATAATAAAACGCAAAAATAACGATTTGACAAATGTAATAATTCGTAAAACAGTTTCTCCCGCTCCAGCTACGAGAAACGAGCTTTTAGCTGCAGAAACACACTGGCTGCAAGGTCAAGACACGATACCGTGATGCATCGCGGCAGTCGCCATGTTGGAGCTCTTTTGGTGTGTATGGTGTTTCTAGAGCAAAGCTGATTGTTTCTTTCGATTTCTTGTTATATATATATATATATATGAACACCAAATCATTAAATATACTGTATATATTAAATGGTTTGATGTTCAACATCGAATTGTAAAAATTCGACAGCCAAAGGTGTAAGAATTAGCTGAGACTTACCTTAGCACCCTTAATGAAAAATGAATATTGCAAATGTATATTATTTTACTTCGTATTATATGCAAGCCTGTGATTTCTTTCAGTGAAGAATCTTTTGAATTCGTACATACTTATTAGTAATTTTTCGGGGGTGGTCCGTTCGGATATGTCGGGCCCCGTCCCTCACTACCCGGTCGCCCCATTGTGGGCCTGGCCGAACCCATAATGGGTCTTCTATAAGAGGCCCTCTTAGTGCTCACAGGGCGGAAAAAGTATTTTAAAAAAAAAGTTATATTAATGCAGCAGAGACACGAAATATTTGAATTTTGTCGCTTAAATCGTCATCTTTATATCCCGATTATATTTGTTCGTCAGATCTAAATCTAAATCCATAAATGATTCGTAAGGTCGTCCTCGTCTTTAATATAGAAATGTTGTGAAGGCAACCAAAAATGGCACTTTGCTCTTCAAAAAGTAGAGATTATTCCTTGATATATTATTGCTAAAAACAATAGTTCCTATGGAAATTAGTTTCGGGATTATTTGTACGCGTAACCGTTCCTTCGTAATCAAATAAACGTTATCGTTTTCTCTACCCGACTCAAGAGGAATTTTTACCATTTTCTGCGCTATAAATGCCGAAACGTGGTACAAGGAATCTATAGTGGTTCGATGCATTTCCTGTGGATCGTTATCGCAAATTACCGCGAAAGGCTTAAGAAATCAAAAACTAAACTCTTTCTCGTTAGGCACAGGGCTCGTAGCCCGGCTCAAACGGCGGCACCGAACAAAACCAAACTTTTCCATTGTTTCGAATGTTAAAGTGAACGATTTTCTTACATTGACAAATGCCGTGCCACACACTTCCTATAGCGTAATGTAAAAAACAATGGTTAATTCGAGGAGTTAAATTTGGTCGCATTATATCTTGATTTATTACCGTAATAACCGGTTGAAAACAGTTTGGAACAATTTAAAACTTAACAATTTTATGTGACTTGGAAATAATTTGATATCAAATCAAACCAAAGACTTTACTACAAAAACAATTCTTTATAATTAGTTATATCATTCAAAAACCTATCTTATAACAAAAATTTAGAAATTCTAGAACTGATTCAGGAGCAAAGTATTGTAGAGAATGTCTTTTTATATGACTTTAATTAAATCAAATTATTCTGCAACTGTCTCAGGTTTTTGAGTATACCAAATACAAATATCCAATTGAGTATATCCAAATACAATTTCATCATAAAACTTTACGATCCTGGAAGCGACAAACAATACTTAATTAACGACATTTATTCAAATTTGTACTGTAATTTCTTATTAATAATTCCACTTACGATTTCGTAATACATTTCGTTTAACGCAATTTTTATCTGGAAACTTTCGTTCTTCACAAATAATTTTAAAAAGATTTCTTCTGTTTATGTATCAAAACTTCGTCTTTTCGTGTTTCTCACGTTCATCGGACTTTCAGTGAATTTAAACGACGTCACAAGCAATGGACACAATTTGAGAAAATTCAAATTCGAGTAAAAACACAATTCCGGAGAGTCCAAGTTTCAGGGATAACACAAATTGGGAATCAAATTTGAGCACAGACAAAAGCCGGAAGAGTCCAAATTCGAATACAGACACGATTCGGTAATCAAATTCGAGGGTATACATAATTCCGGAGAGTCCAAATTCGAATACAGACACGATTCAGGAGTCAAATTCGGGGATAAACATAATTCGTAAGTAAAAATTCTTATAATCCAATTTGAGAAAATGGTAATTTACTAAAAGATAATAATAAGGAGACACAGGCGGGATGAAGTCAAAATCGGGAAATCATAATAGTAATTAAAGATGACACAATCGAGAAGTCAAAATCAGAAGAAGGATTCAAGTCATGGACGACTTTCGGAAAGGACCATATCCAATGTTAATGAAAATCTCTAAATTTCTTCAGAAATCTGTCAAAATAAAAAGAAAATAATTAAGATTTTCCTATAAAATATTCAATTATTTAATTAATTTTTTACATTAATAATTTTATTTCCTTCTAAAATACACTTATATGTCAACAAGCAAAAATGATTTTGATTACGGCAATTAATTGCATACTGCTATGTGTCACGTTTGTATCAAATATATCATTGTTAATTCGATTAATTTAGCATGTCCCTGTCCTTGTAATCACATAAGATTATTTGATATTTTAATTTTTTCATTTATTCTATTGCTTTCGCTGTGTCACGAGACGAGTAACTTACACCCCTCATATTATTGCGGGTACTTTATGGGGACCAGAATATACAGGCTATGTATGCCTGATACCCTAAAGCGTGGGTTTTTTGTAGGTACGATCTCAATCGCATCAAAATATAATGCATTTCCACGCTAATACGGTATATAAATATATTCTGCCCTCCTCTTGTCCGGCCATTAATTGCGTGTTAGTATGAAATTGTAGTTAGAAATTGTGTTCAATTTATGAACTGAAACAGTAAAATCTAAGTGCTTGGTGTAAAATACAATAAAGTTGCAATAGACTTACCCAAAGCCAACTCGGACCAAATCCAGCAAATTATTTATAGCAAATTATGCAGTAGCCTAGATCTTATTCTCGATGGAAAATGGAAGACAAGAGACACTCAATGGAACTGAACGTACTCGCATTCTCCACTTTTTGCCATTTTACACACTTTCTGCATGGATCTAAATGTAGAAAATTAAGTACAGGTATAATTATTCATCGAAAACGCCTAGCTCGATTTGAATTCCATTAAGACATATTGCGGCGCTATATCGAGGTTTCGCCGAATTTCTATCAATTGGCCTACAATGAGTGAAAGTTAGATAATGAAGTTTTCTACTAATTCATTGGTTCGGTGATGTTTAGAATTTAATTTTTCATTCAAAATAGCTTATTTTTCATTTCGATTTTAACATTTCATCGAATCAGTGATGACACTGGCTTGATAGACGAATACGCCGCCAAATCTCGATACAGCGCCAAACAATACAGGAAAATTGTGATTCTCATCAAATCGCAAACATTTCAAACTCAAATTTGTGTTTAAATTAATAGCATATAAAATTTTTGGTGTAATCGATACTTCGGCTTAGCGCCACACTCGATTTATTGCCAATTTCAGAGGCTAAATTCAACTTTGTTTGCGCGTACAAAATCTTATCTCTTAACGGGTTTCCACATGCTCTTAAAGAACGAACTGACTTTCTTCAATTTATTTTCATCCCGATATTCACGGGTGTTGTAATGGCCAGATTTATCTTGCACGCAATCTTCGTGCTCTGTCGGGTCTTCAATTCCTTTGGTGTTTCGTGGAAGAATTGCGCTCTCCCTATTGTTCACTCCTTCCTCCTCCACATCCTCGACCAATCTCTCACTAAACAAGAAAAGAAAGAATACAATAAATATATAATCTCAAAATTGAATTACGAAACTTCAACGATGAATATTTAAAAACGTTAAAAAGAAATATAACACTTGGAAATATTTTTATGTAATTTCCGACGAAGGTAAGCTTGGAGAGTCACGTTATTAAATTTATTACTATTTATTGAAGGGGTCACATTACTCAAACTGAAATACACATTGGTATATGTAATTCTTGTCGCCTGAGATACTTTGTTTTAGTTTAGTGTCTCACTCGATTTACTGCCATTTACACAAAGTAACAAACAATGGCATTATATATATGTATACGAATATACGCCTCTTAAATACAAATCCAATAAGATTGTGATGGAGGAAGGTCCCATAAGATTATAACGTACGTTGATGTTATTTTCAAAAACGTCCAAACCTTCGAAAGCACAAGTCGAGGGTTCGAACTGCTTCAAGAGGCCTTTCTTCATCTTGCTGCCTCCAAATTTATAATAATCCAAATTTTGTGGACTGACGAATCTTCCCACGTCCACATATTTATCTAATCCCGTTCTAAATATGCAAAGAGAAAATTCACAACACAATAACTATTTAATTCTACTCTCAAACTAGTTTAGATCCTCGTGTTTTTAAATTCATTCGAGAGAAAGGAGGGGCCTTTTATAAATTGTAGCTTAAGACTCGACTAATCTAAATCTTTTTATGTTGTTTTAAAACAATATATATTAAAATTTAAAGAGTTACATTGTATATTTATTAAACGAAATTCGGATTAAAATTATAGTAAATTTTGTGATATTGACGACCCTTCAGTACCGGAGTTAGACACGAAGGGACCCTAATCTGTAATATAAAAGAAGCCTGATTATTCGTTTAAAATAACAGTAAATTAATTCAAAATTTCTAAATTATTTTCTTAACATCAGGCCCTAAACTGTGCCTTATAGAGCTATTTCAGACCTCTATTGCGGACAGCAATACAGGAAGACAAAAATCGTAAAGTCTACTCCAGATATAAATCAGAGTCGAAATCTTTACATTTAATTTAATTACTCCTAATTATATACTGTAGATGAAAGTTTCTTTTTAAAACGAAGACTTTCATAAAATTATACTTTTTGTGAAGACATGGGACAGTCTAGTAACCAGATTTGTGGAGCCGACTCCAACCTCGAAATTTACAATTGGTAAAATCTGAAGTAAAAAAAAAAAGAAATACTTTTTAATTAATTAATATCTAAAGAAATTTCTTACAAAACAGACACTTGGATAAATTTAGATATCAAAATGATATTAAACTTGTAATTAGATATATATATATATACAGTCGATCCCCATATAACACTGTTGATTATTCCGTTTTATGTGAATTCCATGTTGTACGAGTCACTTAGATTTTACAAATACCCGAGCCGTTCACAGCCCGGCACACGTATTTTTAAAATATAAGTGACTCGTACAACATGTAATTCATATAAAACGGAAAAACCAACAGTGTTATAGGGGGTCGACTTGTATATACAATTACTAAAATATAGGTTATATAGGTTTTGCTTATTTAAAAAAAATCTTTTTAAAATAATAATACAAATCTACTGAAATCGATCTGTTAAATTATTGTATAAATTATACATTGATAAATTGAAAAGTATTACTTGTCTATAAGACTTTAATATAATTTCCAAGTGTTAAAAATTAAGTAAAATGTTTTAATATATAAATAATAATTTTTTTTTCATTTATTGAATTAATAATATATTGATAGAAAATAATTTATCTGGAAGTTCATAATTCTAAAGTTATTTTAATTAATAGACAAAAAACAAAAATTATTTACTGTATCATAACAAGTGCAAGTTAATTTGAAATTTTGACTATTTAACACTGAGAATATTACATTATTACTAAAGAAACACAAATTTATTATAAGGGGTTAAATATTTCATAGCTATTTTGCACAAATTAGGAAAAAGTTCTTTTGAACTTCTCCATAAAAATAGGTCACTGTCTTTAAGGGGTAAATGTAAATATGTTTCTAATTCTTGATCGAAACGTTTGTTCGTTTCTTTCGTTTTTTTCTTTCTTTTTAGAAACGTGCTATTCTTCATTCTTTCGTTTACCAGAAGCTAATTCATCAAATAAATCAGAAAAACTTAGAGATTCATCTCCATCTTGATCATCTCCAGAAGTATAAGCTTCAGAATTTAATTCTTATTGAGATTTTGAATTATCAACATCATCTATGCTATCAATTGCCCATATTTTTATTTCTTCTACTATATCTTCTTTTTGAAATTTCATTTTGAATTTTGGATCTAATAAAGATGACAAGCATAAAGATTTGTTTTCTATATATGCTGAAAATTAGTATTGTAACGAATAGTATATTCGGCCTCAGGCCGAATACCGAATATTCGGCCAGGAGCGTGGCCGAATAGCCGAATATTCGGCCAAACTATTCGGCTCGATTAACGCACGTACGAAAATTGGCGCGCAAACCTCATTATGGCAAGGCCCGCTGTCACTACGCCAATCGCGTTAATTCTTGGCAGTTGTAGCGGACAGACAAGAGTGTCATGGAAGTATGTGATAAATGATGATATCAAATGTAAATAACAATGAAATGGCCTACACGTGTAAATAACGGAAAAAGAACAGAGAAGGACCGCGAAGTGAAAATGTGAAAATAAATATGAAATTAAGTTGATAACATAATCGAACAAGTCGAGGCAGCTTATTGGCACGAAATTCGCGCCCGTCAATGCCAAACAATTGTTGTCGTAGACTTCGGAAAGCTAAATGCGTGTAATGAAAGTCACTTAGCGTGCACGGGCGAAAGCATGGGACCGTTCGGGCTATCGAACTGTCTCGAATCTGTGAAATCATAACTGTGACTTGTATCGACGTCCTATCTGTCTCTTTTCTCAGTTATCACCAGGCTGAGTCACGTAATTGTAAAATGGAAACTCTAGGACGGAAAAGTGACGAATCGAAAGTATCGTGAGCGCGTATTATGATGTATGCAATTATGATGTATGCACAGGCATACATGGATTAGAGCTATAGAGGAAAGAGAAAGGGAAGAGCAAAGACGAGCGCTTAAAAAGAAGGATAGGTAGGGTCAGACCCTCGGATGTGCGAGGATTCTCCGACGGTAGACGTGTACGTGTGCTGATCTTTGTAATTATAAATTGTGAATACATGTGATTAATATTATTTTCTTTTTTATTTTGTGCATGTTATAAGTTATAAATAAATATAAACAAACAACACTAACTC